TTTTTTTTTTTTTTAAGAAAAAGATTCCATAATCTCCTTTAGTAGACTGACCCACACCTTACTCCTAAACATGGCCCAATCTATACTGACCCTAGAACCAATACTGGATGATGTTTTTAATTCTACCACAGTCAATGGTTATAGTTTATTTTCTGGGAGAGGGGAGCCATTTTGTGGAGGGGCTTATAGTTGGTGGGGAGGACAATCAGATCCAACTTCTTCTGCTGGGCTGGGTCTACTGAGCCTCATAGTGGCTGAAAGTGGAAATAGTTTACATATTTTTCCCCTTTAAACATTACAAGTCTTTAGGTAGAAGAAAATATAATGGTTACATAATACCCCATGAATAGGATCTAGCATAGTTAACTAGCCTTTTCCCTCACTGTTGGATATTTTTATTGTCACACCATTTTTAGTTACTATTATAATACAAAACTTTTTAAAAATATTTGAGTCAATTCCCAGAAAAGGGCTGTACAATTAAGACTTCCATCAGCTGTGTATAAGGCTTTCATATATTTTATAACATTAGGTCTAGTCCTATGCAAACTTTCCATGTGGCTAATAAGCATCCTCTGAGAAAGTTAGCTCCTGACATAGTGAAATCCCAGAGGGATCATGTGGTACTATGGAGAAAGTTCTGGTGAAAACTGCCAGTACTGTATGGTTGGCACAAGAAGCTATTCTACATATGCTGTTTAATATTTAGTCACTTTCTCTTGGGGCAGAGGGCTTCCCCCAACTGATATCACCTAATTTCAATTTCTACCTAAGCTATGTTTGCTGTCCCTGTGGGCAACTTGAAGGAAAGTGACACCCCAAAAAAGTCCTTCCACATGCAGACTAGCTATAGTGTCTAGTTGGTGAGGTCTAGTCCAATTTGCTGTACCAATTGTTCTTGCCAAAGTACTCACCATGTGTGATCCTCTCCCCCTGATTAATCTGTGCAAACAGTGCTGAGCGGGAAGCAGAGTCATCAGAGCCTGAACTGGTAGGGACTGGGGGTGGAGGTGGGCCTGGTGGGGGAGGAGGAGGACCAGATCCAACAGAGGGTCCAGATGGCAATCCACTCAGTTCTTTTGCCACAGG